TCCAATCCCAGCCCAGCTGCTGGCCTGCTGTGTGGCCTCGGGCAGGCGGCCCCGCAGCCCAACCTGGCAGCAGCAGGGGGGGACGCTCAGAGCTTGATCCGAGGGGAGGAGGAGAGCTACACCTCCTGGGCCACTGTGGGGAGTGTGTCCAGCAACTGCCCGTCGCCCAAGCCCCACCTGGAACCTACCAAGTGCTTGACCCTTGCTTGCTGTTGGGCACTTGTTCTCTATGTCCTCCCTGACCTCGAAGGCTTCGGTTCATCACTGAACCCGTGACTCTGCGCGAAGCGAATGCACCCCCTACCCCCATCACCCCCCAGGACAGGACTGGCAATGTGCAGGGGCAATTTTGGTGGCCAGCACGAGGGGAGCAGGGCTGCTGCTGGTATCTGTGACACCCCACAGCCAAGACTACCTGGCCCCCAATGCCACGTGGTAATCCTCGTCTCCCGAGAAGCGGGGGCAGGGGTGAGGGCTGGGTGGGCCCATCCACTCGGGCTTAGCAAGCGCTCAATTAACGGGAGGAATCATCCTGAGAATTAGGTTTTAAAAATGTTCAATTAGGTCCGTTCTACTGTGAGGAGCGGCAGACTGGCCCAGCCGTGGCACACCGCAGTCCTTCAACTGGGGGTGTTGCTGCCACTATCACCGTCGTTACCACGGGACACAGAGAAACAAGAGGAACACAAAAGGCGTTTTAAGGAAACATGACCAGTAAGATCTTTACTATGGATTTTTAAATAATTATTTTTAAATAACTATTTGTGTATGTCGTACTCCTTGCAGATCTGTGGTAGCTAAAAAGATCAGGATCACGAATTCCCTGTGCAGATGGAGGACCAGAGCTTCTCTAATTCCCATCAACTATGAGTCAGGAACTTCTCGGGAACTGACAAGGAGACCTAATCCTGAGGGACAGCAGAGCCACTGAGCACACAGAACCAACGCGGAGAGTCCCCTGCTTACGGGGTCAAGTTCAAGTGAAGAGCAGGTGAGTGCAGCCAACAGGGGCTCTAGCAGGACAGTCCTACCTGAGATCCCGCTGGGGGTTTTAGCAACTCACAGGGTGAAGTCGTTTTTTTTAACTGTTATACACATGCATGTGTATTGACAATAATAATTGGAAGCTTTTAGCTCTACGGATGCTTCCTTTGATAACCTTGAAATATTAGGATTGAAGAAACGGTCACACCACAGGGCTGTGGCAAGAATGAGGTGGTGTCCACTGGTCTGGACAGGAGAGGGCCCACCCCCCTCAGGGGTCTAGGACTGCGAAGCTTCACAGACTCCAGAAGGGACGCAGCTTTGGGGTCATCTAGCAACCCACAGACCCCATCTGGGCAGAACTGTGTCTCCTTAAGAAAGAGACCTCCCATGCCACCTCCAATGCACCTGTCCCCCCCCCCAGCCAGTGCAGTGTCCTGTACCTGACCTGTCCTCCTCCTCACAGTTAATGCCAGGACCATCCCGTTAACTCAATGCCATTGAATCAGCCCTCGGCCCGTGCAATTCCTTGAGCGCCCGCGGGCCTCCAACGACCTGACTCTTCACCGGGGTCTGTGCACCCCGCTTCACCCCGCCTCTCCGCGACCTCCACTCCTGCTGTCCTGTCTGCACACACGCTGCACAGGGTCCTGGAGGCCTGGGGTGTCCGGCCCCCCTTCTGGGTCAGGCACAGGCGCACGGCCCTGACCTGAAAACCCCAAACACTCCAGAACGGGACCTTTCTTTCCGGGTGCCGGGACGGGATCCAGGACTTGGTGCTGTACCCCTGAGCTTCCCCTGCAGCCCCCACGACAGCAGGATTCCACACCCGGCCTCAGGAAGCCGCGCGAGCCACACAGTGGCACCAAAAACACTGCATCAGTTACGTCCAGTCCTTGACCCGGGGGGACTCCAGCCACACCTGGGAGGGGCAGCCAGTCCCCACCTCCAGCCCCACACCTGCCCACACACTGGCCGCTGGTCCCCCAACGTCATCTCAGAGCTCTCCCTTGCTGGCCCCCTGAAGGTGACATCGGTTTATGGCTCCCTGTGGCTGTGAGGATGTCAGAGAGCAGCTCCTCCAGGCAACCGGACCCCCAGGTCACAGCCCAACCATCCTGCGCACCTACTACGTTCACCCAAGAACGGGGACTCCGCTTCTCCTCTCCTTACGGTGGTCATGACAAGCAAAGACACCAAATACGACGTTTTCATACAGAAACATCAGTGAAGTCCATCTTCATACAGTGCCCCACTACAAACAAGGCTGGGTGACCAGTGACACAAAGATATAGGGCCAGCGATACAGCCACGACAGAGGGCACTTGTCAGGCAGGCACAAGGCCCTGGGTTCCAGGGAGGGGAGGGAAGGGGAGGAGAGGGGAGGGGCGGGGACAGAAGGGGAGGGAAGAGGAGGAGAGGGGCGGGGAGGGGAGGACACAGCATATTGGCATGATGACACAGGAAGATGTCAAGTTGAAGGAAGCACTTGGGTCTCTTCCAAAGTATGTGGAATATTGTGTACTCAGGAAAAAGACACAAAATTAAACGTTAAAATTAAAATATTGAAGAACTTCAAACAATCATATCACCAATGCTAAGGTCCAAAAGACTGACATATGACATCTATTAAATCCAAGGTTCTTCACAGGGACTGGAGGGGTAACTTTGCCCCCAGGGACATCTGGCAATAAATGTGCGCAGGCATTTTTGCCTGTTGCAATCCTGTGACTTGGGTGCTCCTGGCATCTCAGGGGAAGAGATCAGGGACACTGCTGGACATTTTGCAGTGCACAGGAGAGACCCCACAACAGACTTGTCCAGCCCAAATGTCAAGAGGGCCAGGGTTGAGAAACACTGCTTTAAATCATCATAGACATTTGGAAATGTTCATTTCAATTAAACTTTGAAACAGACGCCAATCCTTTTAGAAAGCCATAAATCTTGCCCAAAGGAAGAACTAACTGCCTTTGAAGTCACAAACAATTTAATCAGATTTTACACTTTGATGTACAATTCACAAGTGTGGGCTAAAACACATCATCTATTATCTCCATTTACAAAACCCTGGCCTGAGCTAAGTGCTATTCTGACTCCATGAAACATAGGAGTCTTAGAATTAAATTAGAAAAATGTGCCCCTCGTTCTCTCCCACACACCCGGCACTGGGGCGGGCGGGCGTGGGTGGAGGACTCAATGATTCATGCTAAATGTGCAGAACTCACAAAACTTGAAAACGACTTGTATGTTCAAGGAGCTACACCTTGCACAGACTCAGGTGCCTCAGGACAGGTGAGCCGAGTGGCAGACTGACACTGGACAGTCTAGGGTGGGCTAAGAGGTGTCGGGCAAATGCTGTTTTTAAGGGTTATTTTACTAACACAGAAACACACCTGGAGGGTTAAGATGCCAGGTGCAGTAGCATGTACCTGTGTCACGGCTACTTGGGAGGCTGAGGCAGGAAGATCCCATGTATTCAGAAGTTCAAGGCCAGCCTGGTCAACACAGCAAGACCCCATCTCAATAATGAAAGAAAGTGAGGCTCAAAATTACAACAACAACAAAAATCCTACACC